ATGGGTAAACAATGTGATTTAACAGCCTTTGAACGTGGGATGATTGTTGGCGCGGAGCCATGGAGCGAGTATCAGCAAAACAGCAGAATTCGTTAAATGTCCAAGAGCAGCGGTTGTTAAAGTGTTTAAAGACTGGACTGTCAGCCGAAAATCTGGGTCTGAAAGTGCGAATTGTGGCCGTCAGAGACTAGTCAATGTTAGGGCAGAACGGAGAGTGGCAAGACTGGTACAAGACAACAGAAGGGCAACAGTGCAGTGTCAGATTCCTCGCATCACCTTTCAACATCTCGTGGAGTCACAAGGCGGCCCAACGAAGTACTGATGGGGTGGTCATAATAATCTGGCCACTCAGTGTATATTGTGGACACCAAGAAGTTAAAGTATTTCTGTTTTGGATAGACTGGAGGAGACAAAGAACGAAAAAGGGTGCCTCCATAGTGTAAAAATGTAATAAAACACGCAGCTCTAGGCTGTACTTACAAAAATTCAATGGAATAAAAGCATGTAGAATTCGATGGGAAATTGGAAACTCTAGCAGGGAGAGTCTGAAAAGATGTAATTCACCAGTGTCCTCTGCCCCTATGATTTCAACAGGTTTACGCGTTTCTGGGGCACGCCCCCTTCATCAGAACCTATGGCTCTGATGAGTTCTGATTATATCTTTCCAGACTCTCCGTGCTAGAGGTTCTGATTTCCCATCGAATTGTACATGCTAAGTACAGCCTAGAGCTGCGTGTTTTATTATTAAAATTACATTTTTACACTATGGAGACGCCCTTTTTCGTTCTTTGTTCCCTAGATTGGCGGCCTATTTGACCTGTGGGAGCTGCCTCTTTCGTATTTGCCTTAAGCTGCCGTTCACCTTGAAATTGAAGGCGCCGGTATTTTTTCTTGCCTAGACTGGAGGAGAGTTCAAGGCTGTATCAGGTTTCACTTCCCTCTGTGTCCCACCTGGGAAGATTTTCTTTGACTTCCTGTCAGGACAGGAAGTGATGGGAAACTTTATCAATGGAGATATAGGGAAAAACACACACACTTTTAGTAGAGTCAAGGGATAGAAGGTCTGACCATCCTCTCCCAGTGACCTCTGAATCCCTCATTTTTAGTGTTTACATCGCAGGGGAGGAAATAAGGGATAAGCTTCAAAATGACGTGACCGACTGAAATTAATCAACAGCATTCTAGATCCATTTTCCTTAGGGATGGAAGTCAATCTCCTTGTAAAAGCCTACCATGTGATGTAAATGACAAAGGTCTCAGAACACTGCCAGGCTCTGCCATCTTAGTCGTAATGTCAGCAAGCTCAGCAAATCAGAGTTGTCACTCCAGTGACACACTGTAGTACTCCTGCATCTTATTTAAGCACGGTGTGCACCACCCTTGCTGACAGGCACTCATATTGCAAAGCAATGTGGTAGTCCTGCATCTTGACACTCATAATGCAATGTAGTATCTTATTTAAGCAGGGTGTGCACCACCTTGCAGACAAGCACTCATAAGGCAATATCTTATTTAAGCAGGGTGTGCACCACCTTGCAGACAGGCACTCATATTGCAGTGCAATTTAGTATCTTATTTAAGCAGAATGTGCACCGCCTTGCAGACAGGCACATATTGCAATGCAATGTAGTATCTTATTTAAGCAGGGTGTGCACCACCTTGCACACAGGCACTCATAATGCAATGCATTGTGTAAGCAATGTCACAGCAGGTAGCTTCATGGTTTGGAAATACCTATACCAGTCCTGATAGCCTGTGTGCGCACTACTGCACGCTTATAGGAGTAAGTACAAGGCTGACCTGCAAACTGAAGTCAGCAGCAAGTGAGGTATCAGTGGGGATTGAGAGATCAGCAGCTGAGGATGGCAGAAGCGAAAATCCAAAACGTCAGAAAGTGTTGAATTTCTGTGCTTTGAAAAAGTCTTTAACAAGAATGTGAAGAAAGCAGCGAGTAGTATTTTTCTCTACTGCAACAAGGCTTTACAATAAATTAGGCCTGGTGACAGGATCTCCTAAAGTCTTCCCCACTACACAAAGCTAGGGGGGAAACAAATGGCAAAAGTAACTTTATCTTTTTTTTTTTATCTGCAGATGTAATGAACAAAAAACTACTAGTGATCACAGAGCTATGAACAATACTCACCTTCAGTCCAGTTCTTTGCTTGACAATACTTTTGTTCCACAAGATTTCCTTTTAGGTTGGATGACAACCAGCGATATTCAACCCAACTTGCTTTGAGCCCTGGCTGTCATAGGCCCCCATCCCAGGGTGGTGAAGTCATCACGCTGCCTGGGCACGCCTGAAGAATACTATACGTTATGTGAGCACCATTCAGTGCAATATTAAGGACTGCAGGAAGAACAGAATGCTTCCCTGTGCGGCTCTGCAGGATGAAAGTGTACTGAGGCTTATCAGTATCTGATGTGGTATCTGAAGAGAGAGGAAGTCGATATCTTGCCCACCAGTGGCCACATGATGGACAAGGTGCACCTGGGGACTTATTTTGACAGGGTTATTCACAAAAGGGTGAAGAGTTTGGAGAAGGCAGGAGAAGTGGACAATCTAGGACAACATAGCTGAACTAGAAAGGGACCGGAATTGGAGAATTTTTCCAAATCAGTTATGTTGTCCTAGATTGTTCACTTCTCCTGCGTCCTCCAAACCCTTCACCCTTTTGTAAATAACCCTGTGAATGTTTGTGGGGAATCCCGGTGACACAGTGACCTGGAGAGGAGGTGAAATGAGGCTTGGAAAGCAGATGCCTGCTACGAAGGTACTAATGGAGGCGGGAACACAAGCTAAACTCTTAGCTCGGAATGGACAGCTGAGGGGATCCTGCCGCTGTGTAGGAAAGTAGAGTCACAAGGCTTTTGATTAAGTGTTCGTTTTAGTTTGTATTTACACAAAGAATAAAAAGGTGAATAACTCACAACACCATTTAAAGTAATATTAAATGCTCAAACTTGTTTTCAATAATGAATCCAGCACAAATATACATTCCACAGCAAACTATTTCTTTTTTTTGCCCAAGCACTTAGTCATAAGGCTTCCAAAACAGCTTGAGCTCTCTCAGCTCCACTTCCCTGTTGAGTACAAAATTACAAGGGACAGTGCAGTCTCTAGCGGCTGATCAACTAAGGAGGTTGGGAGAGAGAGCAGGGGAGTAGATTGCCTTGCTTGTGTGAGACACACAACTTAACAAGAGCATATGACCCTGCAAGTGAAATGAGACACTCTTAACAGGATATCAGGGCCAGTGCTCGGGGGACCAGCTGATTCTACAGAAAAACTTTTAAACTTACGATGGAGCAGCACCCATAGTTGGTAATTTAATCAGCTTTTAAAATACTTTGACTAAGCTGAGAGGAAGGAAATAAGAAGTTAGGAACCTACTAAGTAGAAGAAAGGTATAGACAGTTACTGAATATAGGAAAGATCAGAGGAAAGAGCTATTAGACATTAGGGCTCTTTCGCACCTGCAGCAAAACCAGGCATTAATCATTTGTGTTCCCGGGCAGAGGGGACAATTTCAGTTTTTCACATAGGCTGGGAAACTAGAATTAGCCTGTGAGTTGCATTGGCTACTTGGCTCCTGAGGTATGTTTTATAGGCAATATGGTAAACCTTCAGATTACATTAAAATAATCCCTGGTGATCCTGCCATAAAGGTCCTTGCATAGGCACTTCAGTTATAGGGTGACAACACTTTCTCTTCCTCCTGGGTTGTCACCATGTCACACATGCTTCCAATGGAAACTAGAAATGGCGGTTTCTACACAACATTACACAGGTCCAAGGTCCACTGTTGCATCCTCAAGGAACCCACTCTGAAACATGCTGGCGCAGCCATCACTGTAGTGCTTGCATATAGACAGGAAGTAGCTGTTTTTTTAAAAAAGGGAATGTGATGACTCACAGTGCTTTAGCTAAATGTTCAGGTAGGGTTTATAACCACTTAAAACAACTCATGGCCAGCATCATCTTATCTTGGATTCTCAATAGACTGTGCCTGGTATATAATGCATTATGGAGAAGACATTATCAGACTTCGGATGCTGCAAAGAAAACGTTGCTGATGTTTTACAGCCTACATCTATTTAGCATCTTCAATCCTAAAACTCAAATCTCATTATGAAATTGTTGGTGCATATGTAACACTTTTTTGGGGGACTGAGTGGGTTAGGTGGGCAGATCAATAAGATTTATATTTCTGTTTCTTCTTTAGGGAGACAGTCACCATGTTAGGAGCCATTCATCGCTGTATTTTGTGACATTTTCTAGTACAGATTGGACACAAGAAATCCCATTATTTCCAATAGTGTCTCATCTCACTCCGCACATTGAAACGAACATTTTTTTCATACTGCACTTTGGGGTGTAAATTGGAAGAGGGCCCTTGAACAATGCAGTGACAATGTCTGCGTGTGTTATAGTATGCATGGCTGTGTGAACCAGTGGTTACATAACACACAGAAAAAGTTAGATTGGTAACTTGTAGCTCTTCATTAGCTACAGAACTACAAGTCTCAGTATGCCAAGCCACACAAAGTAGGAGCAATACCAGGCGTCCACACCAACTAGATGGAGGGATCACTGCAGGCCTGGCTTTACTACAAGTCCCAGCATGATTTGTAGTCACAGCACAGCCAGGGTGGAAAGACTGGTGGGCCAGGCTGTTGCTTACAGCTCCCATGCAGCTGGAAGGCCAGACAAATGCATCAGATAGAGTGGGCCCACTTGATGTGGCAGTACTACAAGTCCCAGCAGGTTCTTGAGTTCCAGGGTGCTAGGACATGCTGAGGAATGTAGCTCAACAACAGCTGGGGTGCTGCATGTGACCAATATTACGCTCACAAGGCATGTGGTGCTGCCTGTACAACACACACTCCATGCTGCCGGTCTGTAGCAGCCATTATAGACCCTAAAGGAGGGCCCCCACCCGGCCTGCTGCCTTCCTTAATCCTGCCATAAACCTCGCTCCCTGTCCCCTGAGGTGTACCTCCTCTTTTCTTTCCTCTCCTTGAGAACGGCGATCACACAATGAATGCTCGGCTTCCCTCGCCAGCCGGTGCTCCATCTCTCCCGCGTCGCGCAGTGTGACTTCACAAGACCGGCTCACGCCGATGACGTCACGCAGCACCGATGGGGGCAGGCGGGGGGCTGAGCAGAGAACTGAAGCGCGCGAATAGCGTGAAGGGGGTGTGGCTTAGTAGCACATTGTGCTCAGACACGTGACTGGGGGAGAGTGATGGTAGTAGTGTGAAGAGCGATGCTACAATAGGAAGGGGTGCAGTGGCATCAGTCTCTGCTATACATTGCACACACTGAGTCACACTGAGCGCCTTCAAACGGATCAGCTCTCTCAGATGAATCGACTCCTCCAGTTCACTGAAAAGAATCGATTCAAAAGAACGATTCGTTCATGAACTGGACATCTCTAGTGGCATGATGATTTTTTTGAAAAGGGTTCAGCAACAGGGAGAAGTAGCAGGAAGAAGGGTGGTAAAGTAACGGAGAAGTAGCAGGAAGAAGGGTGGTGTAGTAACAGGGTCCAGGGAGAAGTAGCAGGAAGAAGGGTGGTGTAGTAACAGGGAGAAGTAACAGGAAGAAGGGTGGTGCAGTAACAGAAGTAGCAGGAAGAAGGGTGGTGCAGTAACAGGGAGAAGGGTGGTGCAGTAACAGGGAGCAGCAGGAAGAAGGGTGGTGTGGTAACAGGGAGAAGTAGAAGGGTGGTGCAGTAACAGGAAGAAGGGTGGTGAAGTAGCAGGAAGAAGGGTGGTGCAGTAACGGTAAAGTAGCAGGAAGAAGGGTGGTGTAGTAACGGAGAAGTAGCAGGAAGAAGGGTGGTGCAGTAGCAGGAAGAAGGGTGGTGTAGTAACAGGGAGAAGTTGCAGGAAGAAGGTGGTGCAGTAACAGAAGTAGCAGGAAGAAGGGTGGTGCAGTAGCAGGAAGAAGGGTGGTGCAGTAGCAGGAAGAAGGGTGCAGTAAAGGGGAAGAGTAGTGAAAGGAGGTGTGCAGTAATAGCATAGGTCTGGGTGGAAGGGAAGAGGGGTTCAGTAATAGATGAGATTAGTATGAAGATGGGTGCAGGATAGAGACGTATAGTAGGGGTTCAATAACATAAACAGCCCCGATGCTGGCGACGTACACTGTACGTCGCCAGTCACGAAGGGGTTAACGGGTGTGCTTTTCCTTAGCGGCTCAGTTAACAGTATAAATCAGCACCCCTAGGTCTGAAAATTGCAGTCTTGTTTGGTGTCAGTGAATGCAGTAATAACCCCCAGCATTGGTGTCAGTGAATGCAGTAATAACCCCCAGCATTGGTGTCAGTGAATGCAGTAATAACCCCCAGCATTGGTGTCAGTGAATGCAGTAATAACCCCCAGCATTGGTGTCAGTGAATGCAGTAGTAACCCCTCCAGCATCAGTGTCAATAACTGCAATAATAACCCCCAGCATTGGTGACCGTAAGTGCAGAAGAAACCCCCAG